GTCACAATCGAAGAATAGCTGTCCTTCAAGAAATAGGGAAGCACCGTTATAGTAGCATGTACTTATGATTTCTTTTTGTCATTATAATATTTTACCTTTTTGTTTAATTTTGAATGATGACATTATGATTTATTTTTGTTCAAATTTTCAATGCTGACATTATTTATTTAAATATTTAATGATTACATTATGATTTAAATTTTCAGTGATTTTATATCATGATTCTTATTGTACCTCATCACATAATTTATGGTAATAGATTATGGAGCTAAATCCAAATCCGATAGATCAATCAGTGTTGTATTGTCAAGCGCGCCATCGATCAGAACTAGTTTGGGAAGGTCAGTGTAACGAGGAGTTGCACTTCAAGCGTAGAGATACAGTATTTGATCCCACCATTCCATTACATCATTTGATTAAACCAGCACTTCGTGCTTCCGGTTTTTATGGATTTGCCAAAGTTGGATTTATTCAATTAGAGTGGCACTTGAGCACTGCGCTTGTGGAGCGATGGAGGCTGGAGACTCACACTTTTCACATGCCTGAGGGTGAATGCACGATAACTCTCGATAATGTAGCAGTGCAACTCGAGTTACCGATAGATGGTGAGCCAGTAACAGGCCAGTACATTAGAATTGGAAAGCCACCTGTCAATTATTTCTTGGTGTGATTCCAGACGACTCCCATATTAGAGGATCTAGACTTAGTTTACCATGGTTGGTTTCAGAGTTACGCAACTTAGATGACAATTCCAACGAGGACACCATTATTATATATGCTCGTGCTTACATTTTTCAACTTATCGGTGGTAGCTTATTTGCCGATAAGTCTAATAACTTGGTCCACTTGATGTTCCTTCCATTGTTGGCTGATTTTGAGATTGTTTGATGATTCAGTTGCGGAGGAGCATGCTTGGCATGGTTGTATATAGACATTTATGCAAGGCATGTCGATCTGATTCACGAGACATTATTGGTCCGATCATACTCCTTCAAGTATGGGCTTGGGATCAGTTCCCAAACATGGCTCCAGCTCGTCGCCACATCGTGGAACATGAGCTCGTGGGACGACCATTAGCTGCACGGTATGCCTATCTAACTATTTCATTGTGTCATAACATTATTTCTTTACTTTACAAACTTAGAGTATTATTGTAGGTGGAGAGATCAATTTTGTGTCACAGAATTATCGACACATGTATTGGTTCAGTACAGATACATGATCAGTACTTGTTTAAATATTTAAAATTATAAATATAACTTGATTGACTTTTGACATGATATTTTTTCCTAAATATTTCAGATGATTGGAGAATCATATAATAAGGAATTTGCATCCTTACCAGATTACTGCAGCAACGGACATGAGATATGGTGCAGAGTAAGTCCACTCATTTTTTCATGTTGTTGAATGGCATCATCCATATATAGTTGCTCGGCAGTTCAGGATGAAACGATCAATTCCATATGTTCCTAATTTGGACTCGAAGATACATGATGTAGACCTTCGACACCAGAGATGGCAGGACCATACAACACCTTTTGTGGCTAGGTGGCGCATGAGATATATTGCCATCCGGTGGACGATGATGGTGATTGCGATCTCGGATACATGAGTTGATATTTGTCAATTACTAGATGTTATATCACTCAAGAAGGAGCAGTGTTTGGTGCTATTGTATGTTTTTCAATGTTTTTCAATTTGACTTTACAAACTATTTGAATTTAAATATATATTTATTTTAATTCCGTTTCTACGCATGCGGCATGTTTTGAACAAATTAGTATCCTCTCATTGTCAGAAGATATTAATAGCTTGTGTACCACTGGTGGGAGATATCTTCAAAGGCTTCATCAGTTGTATAGAGTACCTACACCTACTCACGGTCCCAAGCGTAGAGGACGTCGTCAAATAGAGCAGGATGTTCCAAACGAGCCTGACATTCCTGAACCTGAAGTTATGTATCATAATGTTGATGACGCTCCACCTTTCACACAGACATAGGATGATGTCGGCCCATCCACACCTATGGTTATGATACCGACTCCTGGTTCGAGTCAAGTTCACACACTATGATTATAAGGGTCATGGAAGTGGGCGTGGAGAGTATGAACAATACATCAACACTGACGAGGATCAACAAACACCAGAGGCACCGAGAGCTCGTCGTCGACAGCCACATCGTTATCGACGATCTCCCCTATGTGGGACACATTAGATAGATTGATAGACTATAATGCTTAATTTTTGTTATTCAGCTCTACCTTTTAGATATTAATTAATATTTTATTCCTCTCTTAATATTATTTTATAATCTCCTATTGATAAATTCACTATAATTCTCTAATATTGATAAATTAAGAATATTATTTTCAAAGTATGGTATTAACAAAATTAAATCTTGAAATATTAAATAATTTTAAATGAAACTATAAAATAAATATATTAAATAAATTATGAAGCAAAAAAAAATAATAAAACAATAATGCTGGTCGCTAACGACCAGTTAGTAAAAAATAAAAATAAAATGAAACTTGGTCGTCTCTTACCAAGCTATGTAATTAAAAAAAAAAAAACAGCGTGGTGGTCCACGATGTTTAAAAACGAACTTGGTCGTCTCTAGCGTTATTTACAAAAAAAGTTAACGTGGACTTTGAAAGTGTCGTTAGCTGGTCGTCTCACAGTCTTTGCCATTTCACACTTGTTATTTCCAAAACATTATTTTTGGAAATAGTTTGGGAAGTGACATATTTTCGTAATTAGTATAACATTTAATAGTATTAAAAAACAATCTTGCAAACATAGGGTCTAAGTTCATTAATTTAAAGGGGTTTAAAATTAATTAGACCTTAGGTTATATATTATGATATGATTAGTGGGTAGTTTTTTTTTTCTACCTAGGTTTAAAATGAAATAATAAAATACTAAATATAAAATATTTTCTATAACGGAACTTTCTCTAAGTAAGGTTCTGTCTTGGTTGACGTACATAAGCTGACCGAAGGGAACACCTCTACATGGAAACCGGCCTGAGGGTTGAATTAGTCAATATTTTATATGCATGCAATAATGTCATCAATTTTTAAAACGTTTAATAAATAAAAACATTAATGTAAACTATAAACATAAATAGTTATATTGGGCTAACTAAAAATTCACTTAGTTAATTTCGCTTAAGCCGGGATTTAGCTAAGTAATATACCATAGTCTTAGAATAGTAAGTGGGAACAGTGGAGAATATATAATATACTGCGTATATTTTTGTAACGCCCCGCGTTACTCAGGTTAACTTGCCCCGAGTTCGGGAAAATTTTATAACAAAATGGATTTTATTTATTGATTTATTGATTTATTTCATTGTTATTTTTAATTGATTCATCAGTGATCTTATTTAATTTAAGTGTGACATCTCGACTAGTGTGTATTGTTACAGTTTTAGTGGTGAGTTAGTAGCGTGTAGTTATTTATCAAGTTACATTTAGTATGGATTTCCATTATGCGACACTTGTTTTGGATCATTGGGCCAATTACGAAACTCTATTA